TTGTGTGTCGCTAGTATCTAGTCTACAGGAACTTATATCTGCGCATGACCTTCAATGACTTTGAATCACAAACAACGCTCACACCTCCCTTCGGTCGGTGTTCGCTAAAGGACTATTCACAATATGTGTGTATGTATATCCTTCACACCGTGTTCAAATGTCTGTGTATGCCAATAGAATCGATCCTAGAGGTCGCTCACACTCATTTTCTGACTCCCCATAGTCAAATACCTACTCCATATCATTTTCATCCATTAATGTGGAAATGATGTTTTCGACCAATAGGAATCACCGTAGAGGTCGCTCATACTCATTTTCTGATTCCCCATAGTCGACTACCTACTCCATATCATTATCAGCCAATCAACTTTTGCTGCACTAGTTTGTCTGTCGCTAGTATCTAGTCTGCGGACATACAAACATACAAACATACATACAAACATACAAACATACATACAGGCATTTTAACTCGATAAGACCCTTTCCTTTACAGTCAAGGGAACTTTACAAATAATTTTCATCTTTTCTACTGATAGAATCTGTCTTATTTACTTACCAAATTTTCATTTTTTACTTCTCAAATTCCTTTTTTTTACTGGTAAAAATAATAATTCTTTACTGTTATTCTCTATATTAAACTGATCATGTTCTTATTATTTACTGGTAATCTTAGTACTGATCATTTATATACTTTTTTACTGATGATTTCATCTATTTTGCAAATCAAATATTTTGTTGCGAATAACAAGTGTCATAAAACAAAAAATAAAATCGAACAAAGAGAAAACATTTGGGGAGATGTATCGTAAATCCCATTCATAATAGAAGTGAGTAAACCATCTATTCGACTTCAGAAGAAAAAAAATAATCTATATCGACTCAAGTTTATGTATTTCGCTAATCTTACAGAAAAAAAAATTCAAAATATATATGGAGAAAGTAAAATATTAAACTTCTGGGCTAATTAATGAAATACAGATGAAAGTCAACACTAACCCAGGTAAAATGAGCAAGATTTCTATTAGGATATCAACGTTAAGTCGAAAATTTCCAAAGGATAATGGAGCCATAGCTTACAGCGTATCTTCTTTATCTTACATACTACAAGATGCGCACTATCTTCACATTCAGATTACTGTATGCGACATTAAAAAAAAGAAGATAATGTGCTATACGCTAAGGTTCTAATAAAAGAAAGATATCTGTTGGTACATTGTTTTGAGAAATAAAGAATTTACATCGAGAGTTAGTGTTTTCTTAGACTTTTTTCTTCTTGTTAGGCAAAGACGATTTTGTGTTTAGATTTTCTCGATTACTATCCTCAGTAGCCGATTTATATTTTCTTTTTAAACTTAAACGTGTATCAATTGTTGTTAATGGCGACGCTAAGGAAGATGAGGATTTTGTATTTTCTTTCTCATTATCATTTTGTATTGACTTTGTTTCGTCATCAGTAATCTCATTGTTATCATCAGTTTCATCAACCATTTCATCAACATCTTCATCTTTTCGTTTTAAATCTTTAGTTACATTATTTTATTTTTGTTTATTACGTACCATTCTACAATGGCCTGTATTTAAATGACGATAATGACTGGATAGATGAAACGTTGATGAATCTGCATGTAATAGAATTAATATACGTCTTCCACAACCACATCTTTATCATTTTGTGAAACTAAATTAATCATATAATCAACATCTGGTTTCATAACAATATCCCATTCAAATTTTTATTACACCGTTTATCTCCCGCATTTGTTACTACTTCTAAATATTTTTGTTGGACATTGTAAATTGAAATAGGCGATGATGAGCATCGAGAAAGTAGCGATACAACTTGTGTTGATATTGGAATCGTTATTGTTGGTGTTTGAGTATTATTAGTTGTTATGGATGAGGATGTTTGATTTAAAGTATTATTATTTGTATTCTTCATTGTGTTACTATTCATTATCGGTAAATTTAATTGTTTTTGTTTCACTGATGTTTTATATTTTTGTTCTAATGCTTTTAATGTCTCAACAAATTCTGCAACCCTTGAAATAATACCTTGTTTTATCACATAACTGTTATCTTTTAATTTGAAACAACAGCGTCCTTTAATATTAACAACTCGTCACAATCGAGATCAAATATACCAAAAATATTCTTTGTACGTACACTTATCTATATATTTAAATAGTCTTTACAAGTGATCACTCACATGTTACTAGGTATACTATACATAAATGTCGCCCATACTTAACGTCGACACGACTGTGTACGACGGGTACTTTTACTAGCACCTGCCAGTGATAAAGCACAAAAGCATTCTCTACAGTAGCCAACAGTTGTGCTTCATTTAAACTAATTTTCATAGAAATTAAATACATAGTAAAACTAAAAACAGCGTTTTGTCAGACGCCTGATAATATACCCAAGATGTGGAGTGAACGTTTATCGTCTGTTGTACACTTTTTTGACGAATCTCTTTATTACATAGTTCTCCCCTTTTGATCTTTGTACTTTTGAAGAACAGCAGCAATCAAATTATTGACTTTATTGCACAATGTTTGGTTTTTTCTTCGAGAACGTCATGCAAAAAGGTGATGATTCGAAATTACTGTATGTTGGCACTGAGTTTGAGGCTTATCGATTATTTTCGGCGAGTTAGTGGCAGAAAAAAACTTTTCATTTTTCGGTAATGATTTCCACTAAAATAATATTTTCAGGACGCTGATTACTGGATGCTGAAGATCGCAGGTCTTCATCTCCTTTCTATCAAACGTTATTCTAAAAATAATCGAGGGGGTTGTATGTTAGAATAGATAGTAATTGAAAAATACAATCAATTCAAAATTCAATAGTGCAGCGAATCTAAGAAAATTATTGCATGCAAATTGAAAACTTTTGTTAAAAATGAAAGTTTTTGCTAAAAATAACTGTAGCAACCAATAAGAAAATGAACAGCATTACTCATTCTATTCTTGTATCTTTCAATTTCGTTAACCATGAGCTAATGAACATTTAGACTATCTAGACAATCTCTTTCTACAAAACATAACACCAAACGATAATTGTTAAACTAATAATTGTTGATTAGGCCAAGAAAACATCTTTTTCAAAGAAACATAAGCATCAAAAACTTGAGTCTGAAGTGATAGTTGTAGTCCAAACTCAAATTTCTAAATACGTAATAATCATTATTTCTTATTATACTATTATCTTTGAGCAAATTTGAATCTCGACAAAACTATCAATGGAATAAAGTCGAAAGCCGTATGGTAATGATAATGCTAGTTGCTCTAAACTTAATAAAGAGTTTGTTATTTTGTCGAGATCGTGAGTAATCAATCACAGCTGGGTTGAATGTGAGCGGTCAATGACAATAGATTTAAATTACAACTAGTATTTCTGTTGATTGTGCAAGAACCTTTTCGCATGTCATGGTTTGATGGACAGAACACAATTGCAGATGTGTAATGAGTATTTGATAAAAGTTATCTTTGTTTTTCTTATGTTGACCATCAAATGGCGATGGAATAGAAATGAAACGCATGTTAACAGTATACATTGAAACGCACGTTTGACAGCTGTTGATAGTGTTATCCATTACTGTAACTGGTTTTATGAACGGTAAAGTAACACGTCATTCGAGAGTGATTTCCAGGAGCTACAAATCCCGGTATTTGCTTTTTCAAAATTTTTCAATTACTATCCGTTCCAGCTATGATACAGGAATCCATAGTAGAAACCCCGTTTAGTAAAACCGATAACTGTTTATTGGTAGTAGTTTGAAAAACCAAATACAGGGATTTGTAGCTCCTGGAAATCACTCTCGAATGACGTGTTACTTTACCGTTTATAAAACCAGTTACAGTAATGGATAACACTATCAACAGCTGTCAAACGTGCGTTTCAATGTTTACTATTAACATGCGTTTCATTTCTATTCCATCGCCATTTGATGGTCAACATAAGAAAAACAAAGATAACTTTTATGAAATACTCATTACACATCTGCAATTGTGTTCTGTCCATCAAACCATGACATGCGAAAAGGTTCTTGCACAATCAACAGAAATACTAGTTGTAATTTAAATCTATTGTCATTGACCGCTCACATTTTCGCATGTCGTTGTTTGAGAGTAGGAATTTCCCTTTTCCAACTCAGGGACAGAACATGAGTCTTGAGTGCTGTTTAGAAATTCGCAAATCAAAAGACCTTAAATTGAGCTGTTTACTTCAGACAAATTATCGAGTAGTAATTATCGAGTCCGCACTGCTACAACTCAATGATCTGTTTGCTGAGAATTTTACTCTTTTGCATTTTTGTGTGTGCTAAACAATGTGACTGTAGCACATATCCTAAAGACATATTATCTATAACACATTCTTACCAGGCATCCTGAACTATTACTTCAAAAAATAACATAAGCTGTGAAAGGAGTTACAGCTGGCTGCGAGGGTGAGATCGATAACCAATGATCTTTTTGAAAACTTTCAGAAACTTTTGATATTAGAGAAAATAGTTTGGATTCTAAGAGTAGACAGCCTTGATCAATCACAACATTTAGTTATTTATTTGAAACAATGCTGTGTCATTGAACAAAATCCTGATTATTGTGGAGAAAATGGGAAAGTATTTTCTGTGAAAATATTTTCAATCATCAACAGTCTGAAGCATAGTTCTCTTTGATCGGTTACCCGAGCAAATGTCTTTTCATAGGGTTATTCTAATTTGTTTTTAATTTAATAATCCACAAATTGGATGCCTCTTCTAAATGAATGGATTGAATTTCAAATGTGGTGCCCAAATCGAACAACATTTCGCTTTCATCTGGGTAATCGCTCCTTCGAGATATGTCAGCAATAACTGCTGATGATTTGGCATCAAACGTAATCTCAAATAAAACGCTTTTTCTGCCTGATGTGGGATCGCACGATTTAGCAAACATAAGGGCGATCTCTCTAGAACGAGTTGTCGACCAGAATTCATTTTTTGTTATCGTATTACCAATATTGTTCTTCATCTGTTCGAATTCATCATTTGAGAATTGTCCACTACGATAAACGGTTAGATGTTCAACGAAGTCTTTGATTTGTTCGTATTCTTGTAAAATCATAAGGCGAAGATCGTTAATGAGAAATCTGTACGCGTGTATCTGTCCAGCGTCTTGCATACGTAAAGCTTGAGTAATCGGGCGGAAAATAAATGGACGAACGTACCATCGAATCACATCCTCAGAGCTATAGGCCTGATCGAATTCCTCAACTTGTCTAAGTTCTGGCTCATTATCATGATAATATTCTTTCAGTTTTGTAATCATTTCTTCTTTTGCAGCTTGTTGAACCGTCATATTTGTATGAATAAATTTTAGAACAAGGTTTTAATGACTGCAATTTACTTATTAAGTTTGTTGAAGATCTACTCGTAACAAAGAAAAGCAGTGCTTATCGATGAACTTTCTGCCATCCAGAAAACAGATAGAATTAGACACTTAAAGTCACTATTACTCACTGTAGCTAATTTGTGGTTGAGACAATTTATTTAAAGATGAATTCGGATCTGCTAATAATAGAGGATGAAGATCAGTTTCTTTCTCTCGTCCACACACTGTGCTATTCTTCATTATCCGTGGTCATATTCATCTATTTTATTACGTTTTCCATTTATTCCATCATATTTTTAATCCAAACATCCATACTTTTGCCATTGATATTATTGGACACTTTGGTCTAATCAATTTGCTGTTTTAAACTTTACAATGACAAAATCTTCTAAAGTGATCATAAACACCTATCTCAATTCAATCCAGAAAACTGATCTGCGCTATTTATCACGGAATGAATTACTATCCTTGATTGAGAAATTTGCCGAAGTCGTTGATTCTGACTGTGATGATTCATTGGACTCCATTGCCAATTGTTCGTTAGATGTCGCCAACCCCAAAACAATCGTCGCTCAGCACGACTTATTAATAAGAAGGATGTGATTCCATTCCATTACTAAGAGCGGTAGCGCATATTCATGTACTTGAAGAGATTCGTCACCGTCTGGTGTATCGATGTAAGCCCGCTTAACAATATTCTCTTATTCTCAAACCACCTTAAACTGTTCTCGAAAGATTCATATTAATGTTCTAGCCTTCTAACGTTTCCTGACCAGAGAAACCTCACAGTTAGTGATACATTGTTGTAAAGGTAGCGTCTGTTACGCCTAATCTGAGGTAGATCAGAAAGCCGAGCTTTCGCTAGTGAATATCAGGTGGATCCGATCGGACCCACATATAACCGTTTGTGTGAAAAAATGAGTACACCGCTCAAGGGTTAACCACTATTCTTGAGAAAAAATTCTCAAATCATAAAAGAAAGTGTTAATTTAATTTATTAACAAAAAAATACTGAGACTCATTATTGAGTCTCGTCAGATTGAACGTGTTAAATAAATGGTATAACATTAGGTAGATTTAACTTTTGAAAAAAATCTCGTATTTCTGTGCTTTTGTACTGATGTGAAAAATGAATTAGTACAAAAATAACGTTTGGATATTTGATTATGAAAGGTTGAAGGTCATTCTAAAATATCCTAATGCATTAAATGGAAAAAATGTAGTTGTTTCTTACCCAAATTATATGTTTGCCTTCCGAAGCTGGTTCTTTATGAAGTATACTATCAATATAGGAACATTCGACAATAATTAATGGAAACTGAAAAACTTCATTTTCGTATCTGTTGAATATCGATACTGTTGTATCGCCCATAAAAACAAATAATGGAACTATTCGTTCTTCACCAAGTTCGAGATTTTTGTTTTCTTGTTTCATCTTTCCAATATCTTTACTGGATAAATGTTCGTATTCTTTTTTCAATTTTTGTCGACGTTCGTAAAATCCATAACCACAACAAGGCACTGAATAATCCATTTCAAATACACGAATTTTCATTGTTTTTCGAAAGTCAAATAAATCGTCAGGTTTAACACCTATCAACTCATGGCTAGGTACCCATTGGGCTGGATCTGGATCAATTTCTTTAACCATTGTAAGAACTTGACATTTCCGAATATAGTCTTTCACAGGCTGAACTGCGGATATAGGAAGATAAACTTGCGGTATTCGACTTTTACTCCATAATCTAGTAATATCAAGACAATGATCCAAGTGAGTATGTGTAATAAAAATGTGAAGAGGACGAGTAGCTGTAACTAAACAACCGCAGTCGAATAATATATCGAGTTCAGGAATGAATAAACTAGTTGCATCGTCTGCTCTTGAACGACCGATTAATGTGTAACAACCAAGAGCTTTAGGAAATTTCCACGAAAGAATATCATTTGAACATAACGATTCACTAGCAGATGATGTAGGCACTGGAAACATAGTCGATATTTATCCTGAGTATATGTGCTTCTTTTTCTCTTTCCAGTTTATATACCTTTTACTTTATTCATCATTACCATAAAAAACACAAAATTTCACATGTGATTCATGTGATTGCAAAACTTTATCTCGTAAGGGAAAAAAGCAAACGTGGGTAATATAAAATTTCTTATTAGGGGTGCTAATTTAGTTTTATTGTTCATTTATAATAATGGATAAAAGTAAATGAATCACTTACACTAAAAAGATAAAGATAAATTCGTCATTTATATTTAAAAAATAAATATATATAAATCAAAAAAAAATTTATCTTTATTTTATAAAAGTAAATGATGCATTTATCTTTATTTTATAAAAGTAAACGATTCATTTATATTTATTTATTTACTTCTACCTTTATTTTTATTTTATTTTTTTTAAATAAAGGTAGAAATAACTAAATAAATATAAATGAATCGTTTACTTTTATAAAATAAAGATAAATTTTTTTTTTGATTTATTTATATTTATTTTTTAAATATAAATGACGAATTTATCTTTATGTTTTTAGTGTAAGTGATTCATTTACTTTTATAAAATAAAGATAAATTTTTTTTTGATTTATTTATATTTATTTTTTAAATATAAATGTCGAATTTGTCGTTATTTTTTAAGTGTAAATGATTCATTTACATTTATTTCCCAAAGTAACACTAAATTAACACCCCTATTTCTTATCACTAAAAATAATATAAAAAACAGAAATTACCAATGTTAATTTTATGTTTCGGTTAAACAAAATCTTGAATGTGAGGATTAGAATCGTGTACGGGCACAACTTTTTGCACTCGAAACCGGACCGGTCCTAGTCAAATACTTTTCAAAATAAACACACAAGATAAATTATCTAACATTACGTAAAAAAACAAGTGAATCAAGTAAATCAGGATTTAGTTCTTGTCATCGTGATTCTAGAACACGACCAGTTTCACTAAAGACACGCTCATGTCGATCGGTACGGGTTTGGTACGCGTACGACATAACGGTACACCTCAGCACGTGTGTCGTACAGATGGAACACGTGCAGTACGCGTACCAAGCTGTACTTCTGTTCGGCTCGCGTTCGCTAGCGTACTGACCAACCATGGCGAGGGTAAATAAAAAGATCGATGAAAAAAAAGATGTCGCATAGAGAGAAGGAAAAAAATCGTCATTCTTCTCTAAAATATTCGCGTTAGTCGGTGGTGGAAGATCGCGTTTCACTCAGAATATCATTGTCTATCGGCTAGCACGACGTTCTATGTCGCAAGATTTTTTTTTGAAAATAAATTCATTGGATTTCATGATCTTTTTTTTGAAAACTTTTTTTGAGTTTGGTGTTTCTTTCAGACTGGTATTAGTTTTAAATGGTATGTCGATCGATTTGCTAGTCGTAAGCCGTCTGGTGTATCGATGTAAGCCCGCTTAACAATATTCTCTTATTCTCAAACCACCTTAAACTGTTCTCGAAAGATTCATATTAATGTTCTAGCCTTCTAACGTTTCCTGACCAGAGAAACCTCACAGTTAGTGATACATTGTTGTAAAGGTAGCGTCTGTTACGCCTAATCTGAGGTAGATCAGAAAGCCGAGCTTTCGCTAGTGAATATCAGGTGGATCCGATCGGACCCACATATAACCGTTTGTGTGAAAAAATGAGTACACCGCTCAAGGGTTAATGAATACTAATTAATATCACTCTGATGCCTTACACTTTTATTTTCAAATTAACAGGTCATTGGAAATACGTCATTCGAGAGAGATTTCCAAGCGCTACAAATCCCTGTATTTGGTTTTTCGAACTATTACCGATAAACAGTTATCAGTTTTACTAAACGGGGTTTCTACTATGGAATTCTGTATATAGCTGCCATGGATGTCTTTTGAATAACTCGAGAACCGAAAGAAATAGCGAGTTCGGGTTTTTCACCATTTTGTAGAAAAGATTTTACTCTACCTTCACATATATTGTGCATGAAAAATCTCGGTTTTTCAGGCGGCCTTGCGCAGAATTGTAGAGACCAGTTTGGACCCTCTAGTCACTATGTTACAATTAAAACTTATTGCTTATGACAATAATTGCTGGGATTGCGGAAGTCCTTGTTGTAAGGATACGCACCCCAAAACCTAGCCACAAATTCTGACTACACAAAGCAAATCTCATAAAAACTGTTGGAAAAAAAGTTCTTCCCTATGAAATTCTACATGGAAAAAGCGGCACAGTTTTTTTTTCTAATGGCAAAAACTTTAAAATATTATTAATTAAAATATTTTAAGATCAAAATTTTTTTAAAATAGTAGTTGAATAATAAAAACCAGTTACAGCAATGGATAACACTATCAGCAGCGGTCAAACGTTCGTTTCAATGTTTACTGTTAACATGCGTCTTTTCCATCGTCATTTGATGGTCAACATAAGAAAAACAAAGATAACTTTTATCAAATACTCATTACACATCTGCAATTGTGTTCTGTCCCTGGGTTGGAAAAGGGAACTTCCTATTATCAAACAACGACATGCGAAAAGATTCTTGCACAATCAACAGAAATACTTGTTGTAATTTAAATCTATTGTCATTGACCAGTCACATTCAACCCAGCTGTGATTGATTGCAACTAGCATTATCATTACCACACGGCTTTCGACTTTATTCCATTGATAGTTGTTTCGAGGTTGAAATTTACTCAAAGATAATAGTATAATAAGAGATAATGATTATTACGTATTTAGCAATTTGAGTTTGGACTACAACTATCACTTCAGACTCAGGTTTTTGATGCTAATGTTTCTTTGAAAAATATGCTTTCTTGGCCTAATCAACAATTATTAGTTTAACAATTATCGTTTGGTGTTATGTTTTGTAGAAAGAGATTGTCTAGATAGTCTAAATGTTCATTAGCTCATGGTTAACTAAATTGAAAGATGCAAGAATAGAATGAGTGTTCCTGTTCATTTTCTTGTTTGTTTTTACCGTTATTTTTAGCACAAACTTTCATTTTTAACAAAAGTTTTCAATTTGCATGCAATAATTTTCTTAGATTCGCTGCACTATTGAATTTTGAATTGATTGTATTTTTCAATTACTAACCGTTCCAACATACGACTCTACAAACAAATCATTGAGTTGTAGCTATGCGGAAATTAGTTGATAATTTGTCTGAAGTTAACAGCTCAATTTAAGGTTTTTTGATTTGAGAATTTCTAAACAGCACTCAAGACTCAATTTTTTTCTTTTACGTTTTAGATGGTTAGGAGTTTGAATAGAACTCCATGAAGACGGTGGAGACAATGAATTTGAAGCAGGAAAAGCCATCTAAAATTCTTACAGATCTAAGACTTCATTGAAAGAGTACTTTGGAAGCAAAGTAAAGTGCTGTAATGCAGTTTATGTATTTTCCTTCGAAGACTTATTTTGTTCTCACTATCGTCAAGTTTGTATGATTTCAAAGCATATTTTCAGCATACAAATTTATCCGCTACAGAAAATATGTAACTTTCACGAAAGTCTTTTACTTACACTGGTCGACTTTCTGGCTGAAATTTCTCCTTTGTCAGCCAAGAATCATGATATAAAAATAAGTGCAAACTATTTAACAATTGGCTCAAATGACAAGAGACAAGAATCTTGCAAGAACATCGCCAAGAAAGTCGCTCAGTGTAGTCCAATATAAACAAAAGTGACTATTGTTTATCCCTCTTCTATATCACATCACAAGGTATGTTGAGAACAGAGCGAAAAACCACATATCACTATCGTGTATAACGGGAGATATGCGACACTTTCGATAATCGTCTCATCTCTAACCTCGAGACACCCCACAGTGTTTTGATGCTGCAGTTAAAATCAAAAACTTTCTAGCTCTGTTAAGACTTGTTCGATCATTGTGAAACTTGTTCACATGGGTAACTCGATGAGCTCTACAAGATAAACAAATTAGTATCTTGATTCGAAGATTTGATATAGATCTTCAAGGACCGTGCTTCTTGCTAAATTGAAGAAAGCTATTTCTACGATTCTGTTGCATGGTGTGAGCGTTGATACTTTTAAATTGTAAATATTTTTCTATACAAATTATATTCGTCTAAACCTTTCGATGCTTTCTATCTTCATCAGTAGACAAGATAAATATTTATGGGCCTCTTTCAGTAATGTTCAATTCTCACATAGAACATCTCTTAAAACTCAGGACTCATAAGACGAGTTAACAAATCCTTAGTAGAGACGTCGACTTATCCTACTGGCAAATTTTTGAGAAGTATCCTAGTTATCAAAATAGTTTGGCCTGTCGATGACTCCAGTCTCTAACGAGAATTGACCGTTCCTAAGTTTATTTATAACACTACTCCTTATAATCTGACTGTACACATTTGAAAGTCACTCGAAGAAGTCCAGAAAAAGAGAAAGAGTTTATAGAGAGTTCACGGAAAATGTACAGTGAAACAGTTAGAGAAGCGAGGGCTCGGCGAAGTTCCTAGACGTAGAAATTATCGCTCGTACTACTATTCTATTATTCTCATGGAGAAAACATTCTACACTCGAACCCATTAATCATCCATTAATTATGCATTAACTATGCATTAAATGCATTCATTGCCCATTACCTCTATTCATCAACCTTACGCCCTTAGCGCACGCAATACAACAATAGAACAACAGAATAACACTAGAACAGAGACATACAAGAATAGTAGAACGAATTTTGGAATCAACAACAAGGAATCAAGAATAGTAGAATACTAGAATAGTATATACTGTTCTACGAAGAAAATATGATTTTGTAAAGGTCTCAGGAAAAACTGTTCGGATTTCAATATTTGAAACAGCAACGCATTTCTTTTTTACACGCATGAATACGATCTAGTGTCCTCTCAAAAGCGGAAACCATCCGGAGCCTTCATGTAACATGGTTGCGGCATGACATCCTGAGAGCGCCCAGACTGCTCTCATCTGATTCCTTATAATCTCATAAACTAAAAGTTAATAACTCGGTCAAAATCAATGCAGACTACACACTCACAATGGAGGTGATTGTATTGTAAGTTGAAAAGACTAGATATTTTTACATCAAAAGAAAGCTCTCACCGCCAAGCTAACAAAGCTAAAACATTAGCTCCCCTTGGCTTGCCTGGCGGGAGACATTCAATTTTTACGGTCAATATTAAATGACTATAAGTGATCGTCAATATTTCATCAACATGCATGCTGTTATTCAACATCAATTATCAGCTCCACAATTTAATAATCTCATCAAGAATGGGTTTATACAAGCTCGAATAACAAATGAAACAATTGGACAGATTGAAAAATCGAAAGATGTTTGCTTCAAATTTTACGATCTGTACTGTTCAATTAACAATTGCAATGAACGAACACTATTAATGTGCGCTTGATGCAAAGAAACTCTTTGTTACTATCATCTCAAGATCCACATCTGCACTTGTAGTACATTTTGACGAAACAGTATATCATATAATCTATTGATTTCAGTTGAAATAAAATATAAACTATTGGTGAGTTCAAGAGTTTGATAACTGCTAGCTGATCTGTATCTGTATTAATACTACTTAAGCCACAGAAGACATCGAACTAATGTGATCTTAATATGCAAATCATATATTTTGAAAACATTCTTAATGCCTGCTATTGCAATACTCAGTTGATTGCTTAAAAATTAATGTAAAATAATGGTAATATTCCTATATACCTAAATCGTGGATACCGTAAAAATTGAATATCTCCCGCCAGGCAAGCCAAGGGGAGCTAATGTTTTAGCTTTGTTAGTTTGGCGGTGAGAGCTTTCTTTTGATGTGAAAATATCTAGTCTTTTCAACTTACAATACGAACATCTCCATTGTTGTCAGTGTTTTATCCTGTACCCTCGAATTCAATGAAGTTTTAAAAATCAATAAAAGGCAGTTAGCGTTTTTAGACTTGCAGAAATGTTTGGAAATAGCGATGGCTTTATACTAATCTTAAGTAGAGAATCAAATTGGCGTCAGGATTATCAGGAGTCAGAGGAGAGCGGTCCTAGCCTTGCCAGGAAACCTCGTGTGACGCCACAACCATGTTCAATGAAGACTTCAGACTCTTCCATTTTTTAGAGGA